ATCTTTCCTGGTGCCCTCAGTAAGCTCAAGATAGGGATGAGCATGGGTGGGGATCTGGTCTCCGTGACATCTGAAAGAACTCCTGCTCTCCGCTTCAGCAAAATATTACCAGCAGCAATGAAAAGAAGTGTAAAACAAACTTTGAATGTGCAACAAGAGCTTTAGCTTACCCAGGACGCTAAGTACTGTGTTTCCAGAGCAGACATTGACAAACATGAAGGTAGTCACCAGGGGACAGTCACCATCTGCCAATGACCTTGTGATGTGCGACTCAGGGAAAAACTAGCCAAACCCCCAGCAAGTCAGCAGAGGGGTTTTTGTCCCACTGACTTGAAATGAGCCAGAGCGTGAAAGTCCATGATTCCTCTTTCTTGCTTGCTAGGTTAAGGAGTGGAAGAGGAACAGAGAGAGAAGTACTCCACCCAGTTTGTTTCTGACACTGCACATTCAGCTTCAAGAAGCAAATGCAGTTCAGATGGCCTAAATTTGCTATGCAACCCTCATCTCAGTCTGGAAAAAGCCATTTCAAGTCTATCCCTTTTAAGACCTTCTACCTTGTGCCAGCAGCCACTTGCATGCAAGATACTGTTTGTTCCAATTTCGCTGCCTTTCACCATCACTTCCCAGGGGGCGAACAGCTTTGTGCAGGCAGAGCTGAGCAGAATCCATGGAGGACACCGCAGGGGCTCTGCATCTGCCCTGGAAGCCAGTTATTTCATGGTGGGAGGTTCTCCCATGCCCGGTACACAGTGCTCTCACTTTTTCCAGGAAAGGAGCAATGATTAATTGTACAGTCACAGCCTTTCTAAACAGATCAAGTACCAAGCAATTGCCAAGTACATTCTGATTGCACACAAGTCATTTCCAAAGGGCTCAAAACCAAACAGTGTAATCAGTCTCAAAGTAAGGCATCTTCTTAGTGAAGAGACTGATTTAACTAAGCAAACATCTAAATCATAGCAATTTTGCTGTGACTTAGGCTCTTTCCATCCTTGCTACAACAATTACATCCAGTTTCACTTGCCTTTTTTTGACTGCCTCTTGTGGCACAACAGCCTTGGCCAGCATTTCCTTGTATATTGGAGACTTTAAATAGCGACCATAGGAGTCCTACTAGGAGAAAAAGGAAAACTGGTAGTTACGGGCTGCAAAAGCCCTTATTAAAATCATCACCAAGTACAGGTGCTCAGGAGCCAGGGAGGCTAGGATCTGGATAATCTCATCTAGCAGCCCAAGAAACTTTGCATCTTTCAGGTACACACAGTTATTCAAACCAATACTCTTCCATCTTATCGTAAGATTCCCAAGTTTATTTTATCTCATGATAAAGCTTCCCAGGTAAGATCCAGACCAAAAGGTCTGGACTCAGCTTAATCCAGATCAGAGGCATCTCACAGTCATTGCAGGGTGAAGTGCTTATGTTTCAGGAGCTGAGCTTTTCAGCGAATGGCTCAAATCAGTAAAGTTCTTATGCTTTCAGTGTCCATTTACACCAGCTGCTGCTCTGGCCCACAAATGCTCCTTCCTAAGTGTATTTTGCATCACTCAAAAGGAGTAGTTACAGGTTATTTGTGCTCTGATGACCTAACGGAAGCCATGACACGTTCACTGGGAATATTTGTCCACTCGTGACCATGGCTGCATCAGTCAGACCTAAAAAGAAGTGTCCATCCACACAGAAAAATGTGTGCAAATACTCAGTAAAACTTTTTAAGACATGGGCCATACCCTGTTATACTCTTGGTACAAGAGTCATGCAGTTTATATCAGTTTCTACTATTTTTCCCAACCACTGCTAAAACACAGTTGTATACAAGCATCCCACCACGAGGGTGCTTGAGGCAGCATACAGAGTGGTAGTTACTGAATAAAAGAGAGCACAGCTGCTGCTATACAAAACACCGATAATATGAATCTATAAAACACTTTCAGGTGCCAAATGAACACCGAGTTAGTCTCACACCAAGCCTGGAGGCAAGAGAGCAGCAGCATCTCAGTTTTACATTCAGAAAGTTAAAAGATTTGTTCCAGCCATGGATGAGCTGGTGACCAAGCTGATATTAGAAAGCAGGACCTTCCAGCAGACAACTAGCTTTCATTACTTTGGGGAAGGAGAAGCAGCAGAGTACAAAGCCCTGAATCAGCACTTACAAGCGGCCTTTGTTTGAAGATCCCTGAAATTTGCTGACTTCAGCAAGTAACAACTGATAGCACACACAGGCCTGGGAAGGCCCAGAGAACATGGAATCCCCCTAAAACTTTGGGGGAAACACACAACAAACCTTTTTCATCAGCATGTAAATATGGGTCTGAGCAGCATCTAAAACATAACGATGAGGGTGCTTGAGACCTCTGACAGTGATGCCCATTGTTGTGCCATCAATGTTAATCCAGCGCCTTGCTCCTGGAGCCAGGAAGAGCCTACAACCAAGAGGAGTCAATGCTACAGTTAAAGGGAAAACTCCTGGAGATTCTTCTATCTATGCAAGAAAGAAGAGTCCCTTCAACTCCCAGCTAGAATTTGCTGTCATACCCTAGGGCAGTCCATCATCTCTTCAACAGAGCGAGCTATGACACGCAGTCACTTCCGCTTGCAGTGTAACACACAATATAAGCCAAGTTTTGGCCCACTGGACGCTAAACTAGTCTTTAGTGCCTTCATAAAGTATCCCTTCTGAAGATCTCAAAGTAAATCACCTCCATGAACTAATGATCTTCTCATCTGTAGGAAACTTTGGCAGAGGACAAAGCCTAGACTTTTCACACTCAAAGTCGATGCCATGTATTAGCTGCTCTTCAGTAGTCTTGCCCCAAGATAGATCCCAATTAAAGAACCATTCCTATTTCAATTACCTGCATTTATCCACTTATGATTTGCTTGTGCATGCAAGCCTTGTGGCAGTCCCCAGATCTTCGGTTTTCCACTCTGGTATTTAAAGTACAGTCTAAGTCCTCTCCTCTCCTTTACAAGATTTAAGTGTAATAGTGGAAAAGAGAGGATCTATTGTTCATATAAAACAAAAAAAAGTGTTTTTACTTTCATCTTCAAAACATTCCTTTCCTACATGGGGACATAGCACAGCCACACTTGACAGCTCACAAAGAAAACTCTCAGGAATAAATTATTTGGAGAATGGTAATGTGCGAAGGAGGCAATGGTTAGAAAGAGTTTGAGAATTAAAAATGCTCATACTCACTTGTAAATTTCTTCTGCTTTTTCTTTAACTTTTGATTGGTCTCCATACTTGAGATCCTCACAGGCTTCCCAGAAACTCAGATTCTCTCCTGCACAGCAAGGATTCAGTTAGGAGAGCGCGAGACTGAGGGAAAACTCAATCCCATTAGTTAACTCCTAAGTTGAATTTATTTGATTTGGTGTGTATGGGCTACAGTCAGCACCTCCGATTGTTACAGCCACCCTGAAAATCTCCTTGGGACTGAAGGAAGGAACAGCTTTCTGCTGCTCTCTGCTCAGGGGCAAACAACACCTGTAAAAGCATATGAATTCAGCCACAGTTCCAGCTTGTCTGGGAACACTCCCCTTGCACAAGAAGGGCCCTGCTGCTGTATTTTGTGTCCTGCACCACTAGGTGGTACTGCAGGCACTGACTATACAGACACCTCCTCCAAAGTCACTTCTGCTCGCTTTGCTTTGCGACTTTGTCATTGTCTCAGCTCACAGCACCACAGTAAAAGGTGGATTTCCACTATTGCTCTGCCTCAGCTGTGCAATATCTTTCAGTATGGCCTAGACAGGGGGAAGAGACACACTCAACAGACTCACCGCTGAACTCTTTCTTCAGGAAGAGCTGGAAGTTCTGTCGACCTTTTGGGTCTCTTATCAGCTCACTGAAATTCAAGGCCCATCGCTCCACACGCGTTCTGGTGGGGATTTCCACTCTGCAAAGGTTTAACACAAACAGCACTGCCAGTTCCACGTGGCCCATCTAATTGGCATAGTAAAACCAGAATGCCCTTTGCTGGAATGCCACAAGATTTCTCTGTGCTGTTTTCCAGAATGCTATAATAAGCTTCTGAAGTGAGCCCCCTAAGTAAGTGGTAATTAAACAACTTGGTACATGGTGAGATCAGGATTTACCTTGGATTTGTACTGCTCTCACAATGCAGTGAGCTTTGCTGGAGGTTTGACTCAGTACCTTTCTGGAGGAGGCACTGATTGTAGCCTAGGGCTTAGCTTCTCATAAATGAACTCTGTGAAGGTACCTTCGGGGCTGTCTAACGGGACGTTATCACTCTAATGGGACTGGTGGTCTCAAAGGAGAACCAGCAGTATGCTGTATACATTTATCCCAGAGGTGCCCCTGCATAATTAGCACATAATATCTGAATGGAGATCCAAGGGAAACCTCACAAAGGAGGCAGACAGCCAATATGTATCTGAATCTCACCTCTCTCCTAGGAATGCATCCTGAGGTGCCTACTAGGACCAAGGGCCAATAGTTGAAAACTCTGAATTGCTACACTGTTGGCAGTGCACGAGTTAATAAGGTCAAAGCTAAGCCAAGTAGCTCCACCCAAGCATAGCTGGTCATATTCCACCACTGTGCCAGTAAGAGTCAACTGCACTCATGCAAGGAGAGGATGAAGCCCACTCAGCAGCTGCCAAGCGCATAATCCTATAACGTTAAGGAAGGCTCCACTTCAAGAGGAAGAAGATAACGCTGCAAGTTCAGCATGGAGCACTCCCAAGAGATCGTCTCCTTAGCATGGCCAAGCTATGTCAGAAGGGGAACCCTTCCTGACTCATGATTAGAGGCTGAGTATCACAATGAGATCAATGCTTCCCCTTTCTGATTTCCATCAGTATAAAGTTCAGTGCAAAACACAAGATGGTGAGAGACTACAAATACATACAGTTTTGCATTGAGGTCCCAGAAATCAGGGTCGTCTGTTATCCAGGGGTTGCTGGGGAGACATCCAGATAGGATAGGATCATTAGAGAGAAACTGCTCAGAGTACTTCACAAGCCTGCAAGTAAATTCAACAAAATCAAAACATTAATTCGCAAGCCAGACCAACTTATAACCCCAAATAAATGGTTACATGGACTGTGGGTATCTTCAGAGGGGCTGACATATCAGAACTGGGATCTGGAATGTGGCCCCCAGGCTTACAACAACAAAAAAAATTGATTAATTAGCACAGTTCATTTTTTCCCCACTTCCCATCAAACAGCAGTCTCCCACTTATCTTTCAAAGCAGTGATTTTGGCAGCCCCAGTGCTGGCAGATACAAGACTCTTCCATCACCCTCCTTTTGCCTCTTTGCACCAAGGAAGTGGGACAAAGCCTCAAAAAGGCTTCTGTCTTCTTCTCCAGCCAACAGGTTAGACTAATGAAGACCTGCCCCTATGCTCTGTTGTGCCACCCATTACAGAGGGGAAAACGCCAGAAAAAAGGAGAACAAGTATTTTATTCAACTGGATTGGGTTCTCCTTAGCCTTCCCCCTGGGCTTGAGAGAGCCTGGCAAACTCTGGGAGAGGTAAGGTAGTGCTGAGGGCACATCCTGGCCTCTCCTGTCCTCCATACACCTACTAAACAGCTCATTCCTCCACAAATGAGTCTGAAAAGGACTCGGCATGAAATGAAAATCTCTGTCCTAGTAGGAAAAAGACAGATAAACACCTCTCCTACCTTCCGAGTTGGTTGTAATTATTAGTCTGGCCAATTTCACTAATGCCCTGCAATTCTAGTTTTCTCCTCTCTTTTTCATTCTTGAAAAAATTATCTGGTTTCTGTGCTTAGAATTCATTTCAGGCTAAACTGCTTTAACGTGTTCAAAGCTGGGATCGCACTGTCCAAGGTTTTGTTGCTAACAGGCATTTTGGCAGAGATCTTGCAGTTACACAATGCTACTGCACAAAGCATACCATAGGTTTGGCATAGAAACGCTTGATCCTATCTTCTCAGTGGAAAGGCCAAGGCATTCAGCACCTGCATAATTCACTCCAATCTATATATTCTAATCAAGCTACAAATCAAGCCTGTCAGCTCAAGTAACATTTCTCTGCTCTTTTAATGATTAGTGCTTTGCAGTTCCTCCTAAATCAATGCTATGCTCTGATGCATGCACACTATCTAGTCACTGATCCTATCCTAACCAATAATAATTAGATTTGGATCCAATCCCACAGCTGAGATAGAGATCCAAATTTGCCAAGGGTTTTTGGATCTAGGGACTGGGTGCTCTATATTAGCAAGACAAGGACTAACGTGTGAAAAGCACGACTGCCAGACAGTTAGCTATCATAAAATTCCTGGAACGTAGCCAAGTGTTCCCAGCTCCAGCTCACAGTTTAGAAAACCGAGATGAGAGTTTTAAGTCACTTGGGAGTCAGTGACAGACAAAGGAGCAGAATTCTTGGTGTCTCGCAAATTGTGATCCTCACCACAAGAAGCATTGCTCTTCCAAACTCTTCCTCCCATTTCATTCATCCACAATTATCTTCTCCCAGTTAATAGGCCTGAGCACCTTGTTTATCTCAGTTTTGCTATAGATCATTGGCAGGCAACAACTGTGTACACAAAACAAATTGAGGGTGCACACCGCACCTCTAGGCAACTGCCCAGCACATACAATTCCAGGTAAGAAATGCCTGTGGGTGAATGCAGTGAACAGGCTGATGCTAGGACTGGGGGCTTTGCACTTACCTGGCTTCACCAAGAATCTGATCAGGAAACACTCCTCCCCAGGAGAGGAATTGCTAATTAGTCCCTTGAACTTTCACGTGGGGACTCACGTGTTCCTTCATAACACGAAACAGTCAGAGACTTCACCAGCTCTGCTGCCTTCGGGAGCCCGTTACCACCCAAGCAAGAACACCCACTAGGGCTGAATCCAGGCAAGCAGGCTTGGGATCAGAGACTAGGAGGGTCAGTCTGTCTCTGCTGGTTGCTCATTCAGCACAAGCAAAAGATGGATACGCTGCATCCTAGCAAGGTGGCCCCAACAGAGCTGCTCTTCCAGACTGCAGAGCTGTACGGGGTCCCAAGCTCCACTGCCCAGCCCTGATCAGCCAAAACACAAAGGAAATTTCAGCTGAGACAGCGATGTTGCTTTACAGGCATTCATAGCAATGCTCCCCTCAGCTCCAAGGAACCTCTCCATCATGGCTGCGGCTGACTCCTCCACTGCATTGCACCTTCTGGCCCAGGAAACACACAACCTGGAGAGCTAGCACACAAATAATGCTGTGTGTGGCCACAATAATGATTCCCCTGAGTGAGTAATCAGCTGCCAGAAGAAACAGCTTAATCATCTTATTAAGAGATGAGCACTGGAGACTAATTAACATGTGGACAGACAGAAGTCAGGACTTACCCTCCAAGGGAGACAGAAGATTTCACTCTGGACTTCACGATGGCCTGTTGATAGTACATGATCTGAGAGGGATCAGATATATTCACGGTTAGTAGCACGGAGGTGAGAGGACATGGTCTTCTATCTGAACCTCAGTCACACCCTCTGCCAATCAGTCAAACTAACTACAACAAGGACCGCTTCCTCCCTAATTATTGGATGTCCAAGCAATCACAAAATCCCTAAACTATCTTGGCAAAATGGCTATTTTCACTAAGGTTATTGCAAATGTCAGAAGAGCATTTTGCAATGTGGGGGTAATCAACATGTGCTCCCTATGCTATATAACTGGAGAACAGCAACCACATCACTTCTTCCAGAGTATTTGTATGTGGCTGGAATCGTGGTGTGGGGACAGATTTAACATGTAATTATCATTGATCCTTGGCTGTCTATATACTGGTGCCACTGGATTTACCTCCTACGACTTTCCTGCCACTGACTTAGATCTACAGAATTTTAACCTTGGTGCCTGTCCCTGGTTGAGCCTTCCCGTCACCAGGTGAGCTGTGGGCTGTTTGCAATGGGAGATGCCAAGGCAGGAAACATCCTGAAAACACATTGACTGCAAACTCCCTGGAGCATGCCAACCAAATCCATGCGTTTTTAAAACGGCTTGTCCCTTGCAAAGGGAGCTTTAAGCCCCAATGCAGTACCGATATAAGCAACACGTGTAGGATGAACACCTAGAAGTGAGGGAAGGACTAGTTACCTCTCTCCTATAAACGTCCATAGTTTTTTTCTGTAAAATAAAGAGAAAAAAACCCAAACATTAAACTGAGATAGGTGCTTTCACCCACTTCTTTTGAAGATATGAAACACCGTTGCAGGGCTGCCATTGTATAGCTTTCTCCAATTAATTCTCATCACAATTAAAATCAAACACAGCAAGCTCAGCTAATCAGAGTATCATCAAAGCTAAGAGCATCCACACACCGTAAATGGTTCCATTAGCTGTATTTACTGTTTAGCATTGCCTCTTCCATCACAGCCTGCCTGTATGCCTTCAATTAAAGGGTTATTCTAATGGCACTAAACAGATTCGTTTACAAGACACAGACTAGATCATTCAATATTAGCTACAGAGGCAGGAACCAACACATTGCAAAATATAAACACCACAATTAAAAGCCTCAGAAGCAGTAGCTGCTGTGCAAAGGGTGCTTACGTTGCGATTTGAATAACTTAGACTATGTTATATGTCATCCACAAACAAGCAATTGAAGGCAAGAAATTAACTGCAGGGTGTTTATTCACACAGCTTCCTTTGAAGCACAGTTACTTTGTGTGAAATAAACTTGACGAGGGGAGGGAAAGACGAGCTAAGTCAAGGATGTTCCCAACAAGCCTTTAAAGGCTTATGCAGGCTTTCAGTTCCGCATTTCCCGTTTTAACCAATGAGAGTCATGCAGCTAATCTGCAGCCCAGAATTATCTATCTAATTAACCCTGTGGCAGACATGGGTCTGCAGAGGGCCTTGGGGAAGTGCAGTGCTGGTGAGCGATGAGGAATGAAGCATCTAGTATGAAACGACACCAGCAGCATGCTTCTCCCAGCTTCTCGCTGGAGAGCCTGGCTCCTGAGCTGCCCCTGCTCTGGGAACAGCGCGGCACTCTCCCAGGGTTGCTTTTTGAGGGGACCACGGTGGGAATAGATCTGCTTTTGTGTTTTAACCCTATTGCTAATCTTGCTCAGGAAGGAGAAGTTATTTGGAAGAAAAATATCCACATTTAGCTGAAACTCTCTTTTGAGAAGATACACTCACCATTTCAGTGGCAGGAGCCAGATATGCAGCAAATCAGCCGATCTGTACAGCACTAATGTGAAGCCAGCCCATCTGAGCTTAACACAAACCTACCCTAACCAGCGTGGTGCTAACAGAGATCCTCACTGTGGGATTGCAAGCTTTTTTCTGCTGGAAGTGCCATAACCAGCTCTGAATGACTGCAGTGCACGCTACCTCAGCGGGGACAACCAGGAAAGCAAACACTAGCTGCACCGGCAGCGGAGAAAGAAACTGAAATGAGGATTAAGGGCTGACACATCAAGGGGAGTACAAGGATCTTGGATAACAGTAGGATCATTGGCCACAGGGGTCTAGAGCCTCCCTTGTTGATGCAAAGGCTCCTGGGACGTGTTATAGAACATGGAGGATGTAACTGTGTTGTTTAGCTAGGAGAAACTAGCAGCAGCTAGCAGGAAGTAGCAGCTGCGAAAGCAGGAGAGCACAGCTTATTAAAAGCCAGGGCACTGGCACCGGTACCTGAATGTAAGCAAAACTCCAAGGGAAAAGGAATTGGGGCTCGAAGAACGCAACTCCCACAGCATCAGTTAGTTAGTCTGAAAATTACTGAGAAAGTGGCTGGGCAGAATGCGCTTTGGTTTTGCAACAGAAACTCTGTTCTGCTCACTATTTAAGAAAACAAAACCAAAAACCACACAACTGTTCTCTGCCTCCATTTTGGCCATAGCATTAAGCCTGACCCCCTGCCCACAGAAGTCAAGGAGAAAATTCCCATTTCCTTCCAGAGTCCAGGATCAGGTCTGTTCTGAGTATGCTGGGAGCTAATGGGATAGTGATGCTAGGACTAAAGAACTCTGCACCCTTTCCTGCTCTTAACAGTATACCTGATGTCAGGCCACCTCCCAAATAGGCACCATTTCCCACTTCTACAGCGTCACCATTGTTTCAGATACACTGTAGAAATGGAGGGCAAAAAAACATCTACTTCTGCAGAGAAACTCATTGCTTTTACTGTCCTAGAACTGTCTTCTTTAGAGAACTTTCTGTTTCAGGTCACCTATTTCCTGCAAAGTACGAGTTTGTTATCTCCTTAGGGAACCTGAGATACAAATCAGGCCCCTTCAGATTTACCAAGCGCCAGCTGAACTGTTCCATTTGATGAAACTTGAGAGTGGTTAGGGCATTTAATTTAGGAAAAATCAACGGATTAAAACCATCAGATGGTTTTAAAAGGCCCCCTTATTTCTTCTTCTGTTTTGCAGGTGGATGTCTCAGACAGCCCTGGTGCAGTGGGGTGAGAAGAGGTGGATGCTGGCAGAATAGCTTGAAGACAGCTCGCATGGTAGTTAAGCTGTGTTAGTCTTCTATAGGGGTCTCAGAGGCAGGCAGCCACACCACACACACACACGAGACAAACAGCTGGTAGGAAAGAGGAAAAAAGAAGAAAAAAGGAAAACACACTAAGTTAAATATTACACAGAGCAAAAAAGCCAGGAATTAAAGTACCATCATGTAGAAGAGTTATATGTAGGCAAGTAATAAATAAATAAATAAGGTAACCCACATGGAAAGCTTCTTTGAGCGTGCATCCTACACCAAGGATCTCCTCCTGCCAAAGCCTGAGTGTGCAGGGTCAGTCCTGCGGAGAGCCAGACCTGGTGGGGTGCCCAGGGCAGCAAGCAGATTTGCCAGGGCTCACACAGAGCTAGAGATGAATCAAAAAGGAGGCCAGTGCTGAACACCATATCCATCACCACCCCACCAAATGCTGCAAGTGATAGCTGTGCTGCCAGCCCTTTCCAGTTCTGAAATCTGCGGTAACTAAGAGGGATCCCAGCTCTTTCACCCTATATCTGCACACCACTTCCTTTCCCCTCCTTCCCCGGAGCTCCCATCACCAGTGTTTCGAGTTTCACTACTGGTACAGGGGATCCTGTACACCATCTCCCAGCTGGCTCCTTTCAGCCAAATGCCCCAGCAGTGACCCCAGAGTCCTGCTGACTCCCCACCGTACCCATCGTGACCGCCGGCCCTCCACAGCAGCATTGCCAAAGTATCCCATATCACCCACTGTCTCTCATTGGGAAGGAAATAACATTTAGAACAAAAGAGTTATTTCTTATTATAAGATTCGTTTTCCAATGCCCTTTACAAATGACTTATCACATTTATCGTGGATAAGCTTTCAGCCCTTCAGAGTTCAAATCAAAACGACACTTAGCGAAAGGCCTGAGTCTGCCTCAGGCAAGGACCATGTGCTCTCAGGCTCTTGGCGCTTGGACAGCCGGAACAGCCTTGTCCCCCCCGGCTGCCGCTGCCCAAGCGCTGACCGTGCACACAGTGGCTGCAAAGTGCAGCTGGGGCCCATCTGGGGCTGTTCAAGAGCCCTGGGTCTGGAGCTGGTCTAGATGGCTAAAGTCACGAGCTCCTATAAGTGCTGGGACATCTCCTGCTAATTTTCAACCAGCCATTTGTAAGGATCTCCTCTGCCCTCAGCATGGGCCTCCCTGACAACATCGCAGGCATAACAGCCCCTGTGCTTTTTGCCTGTCCAGCCACTGCTAGAGTTTATAGAGGCTGTTAACAGCTAGACAACAGCTTCTGTGCATATGTCCAACTGAGCTTGGAGTGAAGAACAAGGACAGAGCTTGTTTTGGACCTGGGAACTATGAGTCACCCCTGCAGCCTGCCTCTGCCCTGAACGCTCCTGGCAGTGCTTGTTGTCCACATGCGCAGCTCAGCAAGTTTTCAGAGTGACCAGAGGGCAAGGAACGGGGAATCCTGCACAAAGCACCAGCTGCCAAGCACAGAGCAGTACAGACATGGCCTGGCCTCTCTCTGGAGCTCACTTTCTTTCAGTCAGAGCAAAAAAGCCTGTGGGCACTGCCTCTCTTACACTCCTACGACAAACAGCACTTGAGCATGCAAACAGTTCTCATTTTGCACACATGCAAACAGTTCTCATTTTGCACGCACAAACACCTCTGGTGCGCAAATGTGGGCCCTTCCCTACGCACAGCCAGCTTAGAGACTAGCACACCAGAGGCAAATTTTGAGTCTGCCATAAGACCATCCAAAGATGTATCTCTACAATGCTGCTGTTTCCACCCCAACAGCAGAAAATCAGCTTTGTAGGAGTCCACATGCTCAATTTCTTTCAAATTGACAGTTTTCCTCTGTCCTGTTTATTTTTTTCTGATCCTGCTGGTCCAAACAGCATGACTGATGTAGCAGAAGTTAGGTGTTTATTAGGCAGCTGAACTGACAGAGACATAGGATATTAAATGCCAGCAACGACTATAACAATTTGAGGCTAATTCGCTGCGTACAAGAAGCTAGGGCATTTCATCTAATAGGCCTTGAATCCAGTGCAGTAATTTTGGCTAAGCTGAAACACCATTTAGGAAGAGTTTCTGGTTACAGAAGACTGCAAAAGCCTAGTGTGTACCTGCAGGTAAGTCACTGGGCTCTGGCAGTTGCCTGGTAACTCACTGAGCAGTGATACTTGTTTGGGAACCGGAGAACTGGCTAACAAAGGACTAAAGCATCCCTTCATTAGCTGTTCAATGGACAATTCCTTCTACCGTATTCCTCCTGTCCAACTACAACTCTTAACTCATTATAACCTTGAGGGACGCCCATACATCAGTAACAAAAGCTACCTTCAAAGGACTTCAGTGTTTGGCTGAGGACCCCTCAGTTAGGGAGGGAGCAGCCCTGCAAAGGGTTTGAGGCAAGTGAAGATGATGGTCATGCCAGTATCAGCCTCAAAGAAGTCAATTCATTTCAGACATCAAAATATCACTGTGAATATTTTCTTTTTCTGCTGTCAAGATAAAAGAAAACTAATTGGCCAATAAAGTCAAGCTAGATTGAGTGGGAATGGAATCACAAATGCAATAAATGACAGCTGGATTCATGCACTGATTTTCTGCTCCCACTGTTTCACTTATGTCAGAGGCTGGCCCCACAGAAAACATCAGTAAAGCTCCACGCTGCCTTCAGCAGCGGGTAAAATCTGGCCTGTAAAGCACAACTCAGCTCAGCATTCACTGATGGAGCTTGAACCATCCTTTCCACCCAAAAAGGCTGTTGAGCCACAGGTGTTTGAGCGCAGCCGGCAGGAAAGGGAAAACTGCTAACCCAATGACAGATAAGTCTGGTCTTTCAGCTGTTCTCATGCACTGTCAAATGTTCTTTCAAAAGCAAAAAGAGGAGCAAGAACCTTCCCTTTCCAGCTCAACCTCCATAGAGGAGACCCAGCTCAGAGACCAGCTTAAAGGAGAAAGGCAGTGAGGTCACCCTAAGCTTAGCATCCTTTGGCTCAGGCCCTCAGTACTCCTCGGGATCTCCATTTAAGCATGAAAGGCCATGTCTTTCACGTCCAGGATGGGAACTGAATTGAGATTCATCAGTTCACTTCACCTGTGCTACCAAGCAGCTGTCAGATGGCTAGAGGCTTTCAGAAAGTCTGCAAACCTGAAATCTCCTTCCATGTCAGCTGTAAAACCGTGGGCAAGAACAAGAAGTTGGCCTACTCGTCTCAGTCTTTGTCTCTTTCCTCCATTCCTACTTTTCCTCTCAAAAAAAAAAAAAAAGAAAAAAAAGCATTCTAGTAGCTGCTATTTACAGCATGAAAAAAATAAAATAACACCCACAATCCTACCATTTTGCTCATTTTCAGTGTCACTATGGCAACAGAACACAGTTGGCCAAAGCAATTATTCTGCCTCTGGCTGTTGAGATGTTTAAAGACTGTTACAAAAATGAGAAGTAGTGGGAATACAGTGAGTTTGATGGCAGTAACGTTTGCATTTAATTGCTGAGACACAATTCAACTTTGCTTCCAAATGAATTCTATGAAGTACATAAATACAGGACCACTTAAAAGGACTGATGAAGAAAGGGAAGGTTGGCTCCAATTCTTCAGCCACTGACTCCAGTTGTTTTACTGTGAACTCTGAATTAGTCCCACTCAGTCACAGTTTTCGGTGTCTCAGGTCATTAATGCTGTTTCTTCAGGGCCTTGCTACACAATATGCATTCTTAGGCAACATATTTTGTCTGCTGTGCACCACCTCAGCTTCTTCATCTTCTTTCTGTTCATTCCCCTTTTGGAGATTTTTTTTTTTCCTTTAAAAAACTTGGATCTTTTCTCTGATCCTTCATGCCCCACAGTCGCAAACTGAGTTCATTCACCACTAATAAAAATGCATCAACAAGCAGCTGGAGGTAGAAAATTCCTTAATTCAGTTTCACCAGCAGAGAAAACATGTCCTGTAACTACACACTCATGTTAACTGACACGGCAATAAACTGATAAAAATATTTTCAAGCCAAAAGAAGTTGCCAAATGCTACTTCACAGGCCACGTTCCCTGGACAACGAGACAGCTTTGACTTCTGACATTCGGCTGTCATAGCTGAGCTGACTTGCTCAGCCTGCGATGTCCAAAAAACCCACAGTCCCAGGGTCATTGTCTGGGTCCTCCCAGGTAAATTCAGTAGATGTGAAAAAAATTCTGTCTCACCTGGTTTACCTTATTTTCATTAGGATCCGTTACTCGGTCTAATCCATACTCCAGGACATCTTGCATGCCGGGCTGTTATAAACAAGAAACATCAATAGCTTTGTACCTCATTTGTTTTAAAGTCAGTGGGACACACTTAAGCATGAGGAGAACCCCAAACCTAGAAGGGTTCTTGCTCAAGCATGAGGAGAACCCCAAACCTAGAAGGGCTCTGGCTCATCTCTCTCCGCTGCCACCTTACACTGTATACACAATTAAGGCCTTTGATGAGGAGCGGGACTGGGGAGCATCGCTCCTCCGGACAGTCTGAAAGCAGGCTGCAGCCAGCATAGTTTCAGGCAGGAACCACACTGAGCCAGTCCTGGCTCCCAGCCAGCAGTGCCCTGGGGGAGCTCTTCTCCCAGTCTCTGGGAACAATCTCCCTCAGAGTACAGAGGCTGTGCTTGAATCTTTGCATCCCTTGCATCTTTGAGGGCAATCAAGGAGAAAGGTGGGCCTGGGAAAGCCAATGAAGCTGTGGCATGTCCCCCTCTTTCTATGCCTACAACCTCCTCCCAAACCTCTTTTGCGTTACTGCCACTCAGCCAGTTGGTTCATCAGCCCTGCAGCCTGGTGGGGAGAGCACCGTTTAGATACTAAAGCCACACAGTCATCCTCTACGTACAGGAGTTCGATTCACAAGCCAGTAGGCTCTTTCCTGGCAATCCAGAGCATATCTGTCTGCTTTCTTCCGTTCCTTCCCTGCCCTGCAAAACCAAGAACAGGATTTCATTCCAGTAGGCATACTAATGAATTATCTCTCCCCAAACCAGCAAGATGACAAAGCTGGTACACCCCCAGCCTCCCCTGCTGCATGGATCTGAGGCTGATTGCATGGCATCCTCACACGAGTTGCTGCTCCTGACCACATCTTACCCTGGCTAATTCTAGACTCCAAATCATGGTCTTCACATGGCCACACGTGACTGGTATTCCCTCCCCCCTCTTTCGTTTTTGAGAAATCATCTTCTTCCTCAGCTCAGCTGGGAGCAGACACATCCTCTTTTGATTAGACAGACAGCCCGTTGGTAGAGTTTTACGGTAACAACCAGTTACTTGTGGTCAGTCTGGCTGCCTCATGTTTATTGGTCTCAGACGTTGCTGGACAATGTCTGGGGACTTCCAGGCAGAGATACATCCTGTACATGTCTCATCCCCGTCTCTCAGTAAAGGGTGGCATTTCTCACACAAATGATCTCAAAATGGTGCCAAAAGTGTTCTTGGGCACTAAAACTCAATCATCTCTACCATTAAACAGAACAGGCACTAGCATGGTTTCGGCCTGCACCAACTAATTCTTTCCCAGGCAACTCCTGCACACAATTTGGGACTTAGTATGTGCAAGGGACCATTCCCAAAAGGCTGTTCACATGTGGCTACTCTGCTGTGGTTTAATGGTGTGAATGCAGGCTGTTCTGCACCAGTCAGCCTCAGCATTACTGAAGTCTCAGATTTAATCTACTATTTTAGATATAGTCTTATCTAACTTTAAAACAGTATTTGGCATCTCTTAGCCTAAGTCCGACCTCAGTTTACAACAGTCTTGTTTTTAATGAGATAGTTATCTGATGAACTGTATTCTGACCCACTGCCTACAATTCCAAGGAAGACATAAACGGACAGCAGAAGCTACCTTTTCTACTTCCCAGCATGGCAAGTGTTAAGGGAATCCACAAAAGTGGAAAAGATCTCATCTCCAAAGGAGTAACCCCATCTCACGTCCATTAAGTTCCCTGGGAATTTGAAGCATTCAGTTCTTAAAAATCAAGACATTTTGCCTGGGTGCCCAAACACGTATTTGAAAGTTTTCTCTAGAAGTCTCTGCTGGGAACATTTACTTACTGCTTCTTAATTCAGGCCTGAAGTTCTGCTATCAGATATGGGCAAACAGTAACTGAACCAGACTGATAACAGTTCCTAAGTCCAGGTGCCTGATCCACAAACGCTCACAGGCAACCCTGGTATTAGAGTCAAAAGAGACTGTACCTAATGAGGACTTCTATACTGCAGCATCAGACTCCGGCTTCTTCAGGAAGTCATATGAGTTGCAAAATCCAACCCTCCCTTTATACACTTATGCATGCGTAAAAACAATATTCAAAGAGGCACAAGCATGTGTCAGCAGCTCTTGCTTTGACGGGCCACACTGATGCCACATCTTTGACGGACAAACACCAGGCAACAAGAGAAAAGCAGGTGCAGCAGGCGAGGGTGAGGTTTTGCAAGCAAGCATCCAGTCATTTGAAAACAGCTAGAATTCTTCACTCATGAAGTGTGAAATGAACTAAACGTCCCTCCCAAACTGAGAAACCTCAAGCTGATAGGAAAGTCAGGTTTGTTTTACAATCTTGAGAGGCACGTGTGAGTTATTTTAAAACTATAATTTATGTTTTTAAACTAAATTAACTGCATAGCAGGACAGTAAAGCTCTGCCTTCTCATACCCTTCTGCCAATGAGACAAATAACAGAATCTGAGTCAACTCACTTATACTGCTCTTTGGCCTGCATAATAACAAAATCCCACTTGTAGTTTATTTTTTTGTTAAGCATGTTGTAATGTTCCTGGAATAGAAATAAAAAAAGCAGTTAGCGTGAAAATTCTGGACAAGGCACTCCCATCCTAGGGTTTTCTTGACTCTCCACAGTTCGGCTAGGTCAGACTGGCAGCTGAGCCAGGAAATCCTGTTTGTTCCGAGCATAATTAATATGAACTACAGCAATTCAAAAAACACCACTGCAAGGAGGGTAATTACCCCTGCTAAAATCATCACTGACTTCAGAGTATTTTTCCCGCACCAGCCACTTCTTCACTTTTACAGTTTTGGCCTTTGAGGTCACAGGCGTAACACTTCATGCAATTGAAAAGAGGTGGGTTTTTTGCCACATTCCAGCTATATGAACAGATGGGCCAAAGCTACAGCAAACCTGGGACTTGCAATAGAACAAGTACAACATCTCCTTACCTTTTCATATTCTTCTAAAATCCCCTTCCTCTTAATGTTCTTCTTTGCTAGGTAAATTGCTGGGTAGGGAGAAGCAAATAAGCAGTAACGTACACTTAGACCAACATGTCCACATACAGTTGATAAACTGCCCACACGACAAACACAGGCATCTTTGTCTATTAAGATCTCTTCCCGGGCACGAGCTCCAATCTCACAAAGAGCTCACTGAAGAAAGATGAACTTGACGCTTTCATTTTGTCACGGATACTTCACGAGCTGATGCACAGATTGGAGCAGCCATGCTCCAGTGCTCTGGAGCAAGGCACAACGAGCAGGGCATGCCTTATACCAGTAATTACTCCTCCTCTGGGAACTGAGCCAGGGTTTCAAGGGTCATAAAATACTGGACCAAATCTTTACGATGTTGAGGTTTTTAGTGTTCTTTCTACAAGCTTTCCAAGTACAGGCCCATGTCTCGTTCCAAGTTTTATCCAAAAAGTTCCAATCTAAAAGTGCTTTTTTTTCCAGAAAATCAACAACATAACGTACGTAAAAGCCACATAGGACAACCTTGGCATAAACAAACCAGTCTGAACTGCACAGCACAGCCCACAGGAGCAAATCAAGCTGTTCAGCCCAAGTTTCATGACCAGTCCTGTAATAAAAAGGCATTACAATGGCAGCAAAAGATCAATATCGAAGAGCTGTCAAGAGGTATCGCAGCAACCACAAATCGTATAAAGAACGAACTGTCTCTAAATGCAGGGCTTGATCCAAAGCTACAGGGAGACAGTCTTGGGCCAAGATCCAAGAATACACTTAATTACTCAGAGAAATCTAAGCTTGTGTTTAAAGTCTCCCCTATTCAGCAGAGCATTTTAGATGTGTTCCACTGATGGGTCTTGGTGGAATGTAGACGTGTAAGCACTTTATCTAATCAGGGCCACCATCAGGCAGTCACATCCAGAGTGCTCCTTCAGTTCTGCATTACTCACAATTACTCACAAAATAATATGAAAGAAAATGCAAGAAGCTGGTCACCACATGCGGACGCACAGCAGAAAGACACAAACAGCAAACAGTGCAGAACTGCATGCACAAAGACATAGGCTTGCAATGCCCCTCCTAAACAAATATAGCACTATCACTTACCATAATCTGTGTCATCAGCAGGCCAGCTCTGTGCAGGCCAGAAATAGGGGGTCTGCAGAAAAATAAGCTCTTGGTTAGTGCACAGCGGCCTTGAAGTCACGCCTAGCAGCACCCACAGTGGAAGGAGAGGAACTCTTTTCTCTCTACCATACTCAGAACCTCAACTCCCTGGCTGTGTGTAAGCACGCACAATGGTACAGTTATGCCAGCTGTAGCAGGAGAACAGGGTTCATTAGATTGTCAGTGGTAAAGCCTCTTCTGCTTTGCAATCAGTTAATACGGCCAATCCTTCACTACTGCCTGAGCGTTTAGACTGAGATGCTGGAGCCTGATTTGGCAGCATGGGGGAACCAGATTCCTCATTTGAGGTACTCATGAGAGCGTCCTAATTTCTTATCATAAGGGAAACAGTCCATCCATGAACTTGATCATAACCCACTACTGTGCTTTCTATGTATTCATTATTCAGTCTCTCCAGATAGTACTTAGATAGATATTACCCTGACAACACCTATTACTAGGATTTCATTTGCTACTTTAAGACCTGGAAGGAAAACACACTTAGAAGAAAGAACAGTTATTGTGGAGTTGAATAATAACACTAATTTAGTTTTAAAAAGTATCACAGCCTGCTTGGAAGCTGTGATCCAATACACAGAACTGGTGTCAGAAAGGGAAACTAGCCTCAAGCTTCTCTGTGGACCCCTTTTTCCTTCCCTCTGTATGTTGAAGGATAAGCATAGCCACCTAGTTCGGTCTCATGACTCCAGCTCCTGGGGAATTGCTTTAGCTGTCTGCTTTTAAAACTAGCTCTGAACTCCCAGGCAATGTATTTAGATAAGGTGCAACTCACTTGAAACCTGTACAGGCTGCTGTCTGTTTTAAGAGTGAGATTCTTTGGCTCCTGCAGAGGGTAGATGTATCCATATTTGACAAACAGGTCCCCCAGGTGTAGCGCCTCTGGAAATGGAGAAGGCAGATGTTTTGATTGCACAGAAACACTGCAGCGGGATTCAGAAATGAGCTGCTGCTCAGGAGAGAAGAATACATCTAAGAGGTTTTGTCTATGGAGATCTTAAAGTTCTATAACGCAAAGCTGAAAAGGCATCCCTGCTTATACATCTACCCACCTTCTTCAGTGATCTGCAAACGCTGGAGAATCCACTGCAGTACATCATTACCTGTAAAGCAAAGAAACTCTCAGGTACTTGAAGTTAGAAGTGTGCAATGCATGGGCCAAAATGAAACTCCTCCAGTCCTTATCCCTAACATTGCTTTGGAGCCCACCAAATGCACAGATCCCTTGTTCCATACATGCCCTCAAACGCACCATGCAAGAGAAGCAGAGAAACTGCACTGCCATTCTCCTGCTGCCCACACTGCCCTTCAGGTGTTTCTCCTGACCCAGCAGACAGCTTTTGACTGGGAAAGGGAGTGTGACAAAGGCTACAAACTCAGAGTGGTACACTGAGTGTGCCAAAATGCCAACACGTGGCCTGACCATCACTTAAACCCTCATGATTGGCTTAGAAAGGACTTAAGCAAGGCAACAGCTTACACTCCCAGGAAAGATACTGTGTCCTTGCTTTGCACCAACGCATCTCGAAAGAATCGCTGCAAACTATCTCCAGATTCACAGAGCATGGTGCTATCTCAGCTTTAGAAAGAGACTAGAGACTGATCTTCTCTAGTCCTTTAAGAGACACTACTCTCAGACACTGGTCTGGGGTCCAAGTTGTGGTGGTAACAGGACATCTCTAAGGGAAACAAGATTTCCACATTCACAAACATTTCACCTCTTCCAGTTCATTTGCTGGGACAATGGCCAGTCATCCTCATAGTTAGCATAAACTTCCAATAGTCTTCTAATCAGTATCACAGAACATAGTACTGTGAACCTCCTTCCATTTAAACAGTGCCAGGCAAAAATGCACTCAGTCTCACATCAATACCAACAGCCCCTTCCTTCAAACGTCCCTGACAACTGCAAACTGAAATGATGACCTTTCTTGACATTGGAATGATGACTTAGCCTTCTAATGGGGCTCAGAGCTTTTATCCTACTGCCTGTTTCCTGAAATAGATGAAATTAAAGGATTATCTCATCACTCATTTCTAGACAGCTCTCTTTGTAAGCATTTTCCCTAAAAGGTGTACATTAAACATGGATAGTTATTTGCCTTTTCAGTTGTGAGCCATCTTACTGACATGGAATTTACCTAGCTAGCTTTCTGAATGTAAAGAGCCAAGTCCTCTTCAGTGGATTAGCCTCCACTGATTGATTTGCTCTAATGTCTTCACAGTTCCCTCATTAAACATGAGTCAGTCTCTTCTGAAACACCCAGAAGCCAATTAGTGTATACACAGCTTGGGTGGCACTACAACTATCAGTCTAGAGAGTGATAATGACCGACAGACCACAACTCAGATGCCTGTAAGAAGCTGACTAAAATTTATGAGGGTGCCCTACGTAAGAGGGAACTCCCAGCAATTCTGGTTAAGGAACCAGAATAAAGCAGACAGCACACAAAGAGGATGAGCACTCATGGGCATCTTCCCTCCACGTCATCTAGCCACTTGACTTTTAGGAAGTGGTATTTTATAGTGCTCAGACATCAAGAGAAGTACTTGTTCCCACTTCATTTAGTCTAGTCGGCATGTTATCTTCAGTACAGAAGAAACTTCTCTGTAGCACAGCCTTAACTATTCAACAAGAACTAGAGGCGGCAAGGCCAGATCCTTTGCAGATGCAAAGTACCCCACCAGCTTCAGCTGCACAAGAGCTATTTAAGCCAGTATATGGTCTGGACTGTAATGCATAGAAGGCACTCCTGAGCATGAGCTTCAGACATCACTCAGGTTCTCCTTACCTTCACACCAACTCAGACTACTTCCAAGGGCAAGTAACCTAATCTTAGTGCCTCTGCTTCCACATATTAAAAAAATGGGGCAAACAATACAGAGAGCCTAAAGGGCTTTGCAAATACCGTGGGAAAGAATTAATCTATTTGGCTAAGTTTTCTCCTTAGTTGCCTGGAGCAAGCTCACTGGTTTCAGTGGGAATTTTTGTTCTGAATTTCAAAGTGCTGCAGAAAGCCCAAAGGAGGACGAGACTTTGGTACAGTTTGTGTGAATATTTGCAGTGAAGGATCCCTCACAAGAGCTTATGTGAAGGTTTGGAGAGCAGGGAAGTAGAGATACTGAGAGTGCATTGCTAGTGCCATGTGAAAGGTGCTAACAGGCACAAAGGAAGACCACAATAGGAACTGCCTCTAGTGCTAGATGTGACACATCCACAGCACAGCTACCCGTCTGTTTTTTTCTTCAGCCTGTTTGAAAGAGGAAAAGCTGTCATTTAGAGGCAGAGAAGCGGGCTGAATATTTTGCTTCTTTCCTGTGAATTGAAGAAAAATTATTATTACCAGAAAACGTTAAAAGGGAAACTAATTGCTTGTTGTTCACTTCTGAAGCACCATATTTCAATCCAATTCAGTTCTGCCTATTTTAATTAGATTTTAATATTTATCTTTTATTTTTCATCCAGCACCAGTAGGAATACAACAGGTTTGGAAGTTGAAGCTTCTGTTCACCTGTATTCTAAGACAAAGCAAGGCCAACTGAGTTAAACTCACATGAGACAGCTAGAAGTGCTTGACTAGCAATCTTCATGTCTCTTCTGCAAAGAAGTAGGAGTGAAATGAGACATGAGCGAGAATGAGATAAAGGGAGCAGGTACGTTTCAAAGCCTAGATATTTATTGGGAACAGGGGCTCCAGTATGCACCCAGGTAGTGGCAACCCAAGGGTGGCCACGAGGTCCGCATACAGTTTTTCTTTGAAGAACTTCCTTGGCTAGTCCCTTCCCCAGGATAAGCTCTTACCTGCCACAGCATGTGGGATGTTTGTGATCATCACCCTCTGAGTGTGCATCTTGATGCCTGTGTCTGGATTCTGCATTTCCATCATAAGCGTTTCGATCTGCAAAGCATGACAGGGATGGGCTGTATTACAGGAGCGAGCACAAGGGCACCCCAGGGCCGCAGCAGCTCTGGGTAGCCTCCCAGAGGAAACTAAAGAGGAGCAGCATGGGGATGGATGCAATGACCACAACCCTCTTCAAACCTCTCCCTTTCCACTGGGAATGCCACTTCAAGACTGTGTCGACCTTTGCACTGACTCAGTGTCACTCCCTCCTAGAGTCCACAGGAAACATATAAGCAGCTAGGATTAGCAGACGACAGGATGCAACCACTCCATGAGAACTGAGCTAGGAAAAGAAAATCCTAGCTTTTTCCAGGCATAGCACTGTGACAGTTTTGCCTTATTGAGAAAAATCTCTGCTACCTGTAAGTGTTCTTCTCTGGCTCAGTGGGCTGCTTGCTGGGGCAATTAAGAAGAAAAATGGGAACAAATAAAACCTGGAAAGCCGCTTCTATATCCCATCTGTGCACAGACTCGGTGATATTGCATCACGGACCAAGAAAATCAGCAATCGTTTGGCTGAAGACTAAAAAGTAAAGGTTCTGCTTCTGACCTGCAGATAACAACCAGGCAGGATTTTGAGAAGTAACAGGGAGAGCACACGACTGATCCTGGACTGTGCAAGAAGCACAGACCCCAGGAAGAGAGAACAGCCCATCCTTTGGGGGAGCACAGGTACAATCTGACCAAGCCTTTGAAGAGCAGGCCAAGGACTGGTTACACATGCTTTTTGTCTATGGAGATTTCATATTATGCTCATCTGAGTACCATGAGAGCAGTGGTTTTGTGGAAGACGCTTCTCCTTTTGGGTTCTGCTTCTAGATTGTTCAAATTGTTCCAGCAGGACCAATTTGGTCTCTCTGCACATCCATTTCAGGAGAGGATGCAGCTCTTTAACTAGCATCAGTGGATGTAATGAATGTGACTTGATGACACTCATGCATAATGAAGGGTATTGTTTTCGCAGGCACCACAGTGACTTTGGTGCTAAGTCTTGCCAAGTTCAATGAGGATTTAAGCTTGTAGCGACAGGATGCACCCTGGGCTTGACAATAAAAATGGATTTTCAACTGTTTTTAAAGCTAGTGTCAAATTAAGACTAAAAAAGAAAAGTTTGTTTAAAATTTCTTAAAATATTTATATTTATATAAATGCATTCATATAAAATACTATAAAACAACAAAACCACACCCAAAGCAAAGGAACATGAAGATTTTTCTTAGTCTTTTTAACTGAACTCCAAATTTACTGAGCCATAACATCAAAGATGGGTCAGAAGGACTCATCCCACTGCCCTTACCCAAGCAAAACCCTGCCCACTTCAGTGATGGCACTATCTTTGCCAGATCCAGCACAACGAAAATCAACCACTAAAAGCAACAAGCCAGGAACCATAAAAGTCATCGCTAGGTTACTTTTAGTTACCTTCTGCATTTAGAGACTTGACAGTTCAGACTTCCAAGGTAGTTTCCATAAGCCTGCAGGCAAGGACATGACTTTTCTCATGGATGAGACAGCCATGTGGTCCCTCAAAGATCAAAGCTGGAAGAGCACCTCCCTCCTCCCATTCCCCAGCTTTGCGCAGCCCAGGAAACTGAGGGCTCTGCAATCACTTGGCCCCAATTTCAGCCAGCCTCCACAAGTTCAAAGTCAGATATGGAAAGATGTCTGTGTAATTGTGTCACACAAGGAGAGGCAGCATGCATCAGCTGGAGCATTAAATTAGGAAACCTAGATTCAGCTCTGTTCTCCTGTAAGTAAACATGGGTAATCTTGGAGAAGTCACTCTGTCTGTAATTCAGTGTCAGCTCTGCAACCAACACTTCCTTACCAGGGATGCTGGCAGAACAAATACAGCAGTGCCAATTGCCTCCACGCTGCAGCGATGGGGGCCATACCCAGCCACACACCTCTGGGACAGGCAGGCAGGCCCCTTGGCTCAAGCAGTGCATGTTCCCTGCATGTCACACAGCGCACTCTGCTCCGAGCCTTCGTTCCTGGAACATATGTACAGGGCAGCCATTCACTCCTTGCTGGATTCAGAAGACGGGCCTTTGCCGGTCACGAGCAAGCAAATGATTCAGAAACTCACTCAAGCCTCCCAGCACAGGATGTTCTCTCTTTTAATGAGTGAACAGCTCCAGACACTTGTCGCTTTTGTACCCTTCTGGGCTCCTTCACATCATTTAAGAAATAACTTATATTAAAAAAAAAAAAAAAAAAAGCGAGATGAACAGGGAGCTACTGTTGGGTGGTGCCTGCTGCTCTGGCTACAAACCACGCATTTTACTGATCAAAACTCAACACGTCTCTTCCTTGTCTCCCAAGGAAATGGCCTGCTTATTACAGATCACTAGAGATTAGGAATTGCTATCAGCACCAGCCTGCCAGGAGGAGGCCAGAAGGGCTAGTTAAAACACGGTGAGAAAATGTGCTTGCTTTGCTAAGAGCACTAGCACATTTTGTCACATTTTTGGCCAGGGACGCACTGTCTGGTTTGAATTTTATATAGCTAGAAGCCACTTCCTGCCTTTGGTTGATGAGTGGAGACGCACACAGAGTAAATACCAGTGGGAGAACAGCTAAAGGACCCAGGCTCTGCAGTGAGCTCACCTTAAGCACAGAGCCATCACGAGGCATAAACCCCACTGAGGTCTTCCTTCAAACCAACCTGAATCTCTACACAGAACTTACTTTCACCCCAAAAGCCACAGAGAAGACAATACGAAAACTCTCCCCTGTCTGATCGGAAGAATTCACCAAGTTCGTTAAGTGTAAAGCACAACTAAACTCACAAATAATAGGAAAAAAGCATCAACTTTACAGCAGCATGTGGGAATCCTGGGCATGGTTTGGGTTTTCTGTGCAAAGCACTTTACCAACAAATGCTTCAGTGACTGACTGGGGAACCCTGTAATTCTGAGGGAGGCAGATCCAACACGGACCCTTTCCCACAAGCGGGAATAGCATGGACAGATTGTTGCTGATGGATTACTTGGGTGAGTTACTCTGGGCATGTTTCCCACGCTTGTTTCTCCTGGCCTTCTACTTTGAGTACCTGTCCCAGAGCCAGGGCATCTTCAACACAGAAGCATCAGCCTTGGGGTGCTGAGAGTTTGACACGCAACAACAAAATACTTCAGAGGTGAGAAGTTCAAACCCCTCTCAGCATGTAGCCACACAGAGGTATCCTCACTCAAGATATAAGAAAGATAAGTTTTCCCAGCAGGCTCCAGCTTACAGAGTGCCCGCTCCTTGGTGCTATAATTAAACACCTACTGCTTTCTCCATCAAAAATATTCATCCCCCCACCCATCCACCCACCTAACTTTGTTTGCAAAGATCAACATTCCCTGCTCCGATTTCTCAGGTAGCAATACAATCTTTCATCTTAACTGCTGCCTCAGGAGGATAATTATTTTCTAGGCCTACAACTTAACAATTCTGCTTTGCACATTCATGGAGGATCAAGAGAAAAAACAACCAAAAAAAGTTGCTTGTTAACCAGCTTCCCGCTTGTTCTTCCTTAGACCTGAGCTGAGGGGCCTGTTCCCACCCCACCCAGGGTGCAGCAATCTCACACTCAAGGTAAGCAAATCTGTGAATGGAGAGCGAAGGGCTGGAGCTCGCTCTGTCCACATACTCCATCTTCCCTCACTGTGCCACCGTCATCACTCCAGCAGGGCCTCCTAATTAAACCTGCAAGGAAACATGCAAATCAAAATACAGTCCTACCCGGCTCGTAGACACTGCCAGTGACGTTCAGAACATTTTACACTTTGCGCAATGTTTTACAGAGGCACGTATCACTGGGATACCCACTTCAGAGACAGGGAAAGCAAAGGCAGGAAGGGAAGAGTCTGGACTTGTGACTCTATAGCACAAAGGACTGTAGTTCCAGGCCAAGTACGCATTTCTTGTCCCCGAGATCCCTTGGAGGGAGCATAGGAAACCTGGAAGAGGATTCACTGCCCTCCTTCGTGCTCCCTCACCATTGCCAACACAGCCTCTGTTCGCATGCTCGCCTTGCCGTGAGGAAGGGATGAAACACGTGTGGGATCAAATAAACCTCTAGAAACGTCCTGACAGATGTGGGCAAGCAACTGCTGGAGAGCCTAATCCAGGAGGATTCAAACCAAGATCAGTAAGCCCCCTGGGCCACACTGTGGATCCAGGACCCAGCCCCCTCCCCAGTCGCAATGCTACATCAGGAGGAGCTGACCCGGACGTCAGAGACCAGAGTAAGAGGGAGGCAGAGGAAAAAGGCAAGCGGCATCCATCAGCCCTACCCACGAGGTATGAGTCACGATGCAGCTCATGTAGCTCAGCAAGGAAAAATACACAGCCCACCAGCCGCCTGAGAGCGCAACCCTGCAAAGCGCTGCTTGATGCTTTGCCAGCTGCTGCGTAATAGAGGCCAGATCCCTGCTGGTAGCGTAGGCACAGACACCGAGAGGCTGGTCTGATTCAATCCCCCCGAGCATGTGGCCTGAAGTACAGTAGCTGAAGCATGTGTTTGGGAGGACCCTCCCTGTCCTGACAGATCTTCTGACCAACATTTTCTCTTCCAAAGCAGTTTAGGAGGGAAATAAATAACTACAACAAGCCAAGCAATTTTAAGTGGGCTAGTGGATGTCTGCCTGGCTGCCCTGCCCAAGGTCTGAAACACGCTAGTGTAGGACATGCGTGCAAGGTCAGAAGGGGGAAAAAAAACAGGGGAAGAGCAGAGCTCAGCCCTCACAACTACATCTGCCTCAAGCCTCTGCCTCAGACTGGGGCACAAGGTAGGAACCACAGGACGGTGTCATCAGCCACGAGGATCGAGCTGTATGGCCAGCTCAAGTTGGGCAGAGCAGCCTCACAGCAAGTACAAGGCACTGCCCACCCCCCTGAAGCAAAACCTGTTCTTCTCCCTGTCTTGTGATGGTAGGACTGCTTCAGTCACAAGAGAACCAGCACAGAGGAGCATCCTAGCCCCAGAGGCACAACAGGGCCAGCAGCCTCACAGCAGCATACGTGCCAGCTGGTAGCAAGGCTTGAGCACAGGCTTAAGCAATTAACAAAGCTTCTCTCTAGGATTTTAGCTCCTCAAGGATCTAATCCCATAAGGTGCTAAGTGGATATGCACCAAGCATCCTCAGCTGCCACCACCCCCACCTGTTAGAGGTGCTTGGTACTGCAAGGGTGCGCTCTAGTCTCACAGGACGTGGCCGCCAACATACAAGCAATTTAACAGCTGAGGCTCCATCCAGGGCTTCCCCGAGGTCTGGAAAAAACAGAGGAGGAAGGAAAGCAGAGATGAGAGCCAAAACCTTTCTACTGACCATCCAGGAGGTTCCTTTCCTGGTGCTAAACAGGTTTTAGGCACGCAAAGTGCTCTAACTACTCAAATCCTCTCACAATGCCAGTTGCGTATTCTCCATAACGATTCCCTGTTTTAACAGATCTTCCCACCTGAGGAACTCTGAGTGCTTTGCAAAGGCTGCTGGCTCCCACCGAACAGCTAAAGCACAGCTGCTAGAGGTCATCCTCTCAAAGCACACAGCTTCTCCTCTGCACCCCCGCATGCAATGCCATGGGAGTATTATTCAGCGCAGAATTTGGCCCAGCATATTTCCTTAGGCAGGGCTCCCCAGCCAAGTCTACCTAGAAAGACACAGCACCAAAGAAAACGTCCTCTTTCCCCCCTCCTCCAGTATGAAAAGTACCAGTGCTTGCATTGCCCGGTGCATGCTTCAAGACCAAACAGCCCCAAATTTTTCCCCTTTCCCCCTATAATTGTCCTGTCTTTTTAGGCTGTGGGCGTTGCATGAGAGCTAACTACAACTCAGACAAGAACCGGATGGCTGTACTTGCCACTGGAAAGCCAGCTAATCCCACTCAACAGGATAAACCACAGACAGGAGCAGTGGGCGGGAGAAACGCTAGCTTACCACGGGCGCCGTTTAAAAATCTCTGCAGACATCAGTTACGCTAAAACCGGTTACATTTTTGAATGAACGCTACAGGAAAAAAAAAAAAAGGAGGGGGGGGGAACCGAACACGTTACAAAATTACGCATCCTCTCCAAAAGCGGAGGCATACATCTTCCCGCTCTCAGGTGCTTGGGGTCACAGAGGCAGCCGGCTCTGAGAGAGCGGGAAGAGGCAGAGGGCAAA